CGATTTCCCGCCAAAGAATCTGCGCAGTAGGTATGCGCATTGTCCCTCAATGGAAACCTTATGGGAATATCGATAAAGCGTTCGGTCGACCCGTCGCCAATATTAGCCACAGTTAAGAGCGATTGGACAATTTGTAATTAGTCGATACGAATCTCTGGTGCTTTCAGTACTAATTTAATGTTTATGCAATCAATCAGGTAACGACTGTCAGGAAAAAGGAACATTTAGAAATACGCTCTGGTTCCCTACCTATTTTCGCCTTAACAATGGCTCTGCCCCAGGTCATTATTGCAAGTACTCAGTTAACTCACTAACGGTTAATTACACGTTATTACCCGTCAGCAAATTAGGCCAGTGCGCCCAACTGTCTAACGATGAAAAATCATAAGGAACATTCTAGCCTCTTAAGGTTAGGTTTCACCTGTCAGACAAGAAGCTTCGTATATTTCAATAACAGCCATCCCGATCACGACTTTGGGATATCATAGAAAAATTACGTAACGCTCGTTGGGCCAATTCAAATGTACCTAAGACAGTGTTACCAGCCTGACTGAAATTCCATATTTTTTAATTTGTACCGCAGTGACGTCACGGCTTCAATTACGAAATCAACAAAGTCATACCTCGCAAGTACGCGATGCTTTATCGCGCATGGTTGAAATTTGAAAATTCACAGAGATTCACGAGAGATGGTGATCTCGAATCGTATTTTTTGTTTTGTTTTTCAATAATCACGTGGCCCCGGGATTCTTTGAACGGTTTTAAAATATCCCGAGTATAACTTTATTGTAAGCCACGTATTAGACACGTAAATGACTGCTTAACAGGGGTGCGGTGCAGGAGGTGGGTGTTCTCGATCCCGCCTACCATCCTTTACGTCCAATGCGGTGGCTGGTTCCCCAGGGGTCTCCCGATTCTCTCCACTGGGTCCCTTCTCTTGGGCGACCAGCCCGAAGTGAGGACTTACAGCAGCGATAATAGTCGGCAGGCCCCTTAGTCAACGCTATAGACTCGAAGTGTCGAGTACGAGTACCGATCTCTCGCGGCACCCGGACGTCTTCTCGACGACGTCCTCGTCGGGACTTTATAAGTGAATATTGTAAAATTCTCATAGTCCGACGCTACTGCGAGTCGCTTGGTTCGTGGTGGTTTGAATTTTTGTATAATTTTTTTTTGAGTGAAATTTTTTTTTTTTTTTTTTTTTTTTTTTTTTTTTTTTTTTTTTTTTTTTTTTTTACTTTCTATCACGTTTTTAATCGGGCAACGAGCTCGTCTCTTCGGTCGTACCAGAATGCTGTGACCACTGTGCGGTGCCCGATCCTGTTCCGGTTCCTGGGTGTGATAGTTGTCAACTGTAATTTAGTTTTTCGGGGAGGACGATATGCTGTTCAAAGGTAATAGTTCACGGCTGGAACTTCTGATTGGAAAGATACAGGCACATAAGGAGTCACCGTCGCCACCGCAGGATGACAAGTGCCACCCTAAATTGAAAGGTTTGATTTTTATCAGGGAAAAGAATCCTGTCTCTTTTTTTTTTCTTTATACTTTTCGTTTGTACGTCTGTTTGTCCTTTTTTTTGGATTTTTTATTTTGGGGTAGTAATTAAAATGTCCATTCAACTTATTTATATCCTTCGCACGGATTTTCGAGTATATGTATTTTTTAAACGAGCCAACCATATTTTATTTTTTTTTTTTCAACAGGAATTTGTTTCTTTTTCGTTTTCTTACTATACTATGCTATTCTTTGAAAATTTTGAAAAATTTTTTTACACCCCTGTCACGGAGATCGTTATTAAATCTGATGATTTTTCTGGATCATAATTTTGATCGGTCATAAATCAGAGATAATGGACCTTCATCAAAATGTCTGATTCATGAATCAAATTGCGAGATGTTTGATTAGCGATTTTAACGTGGACCAAAAATTTCTCAATGATCTCCCGATTTCGTTCCTGCACGGTGAAAATACAAAAAAAAAAAGTGATCGCGGCAGATGTTCCGTCAATTGTAAATCCGTCGCGTTCTTTGCGTATTAACATCGCATAAGTCACAATTGGGAAAGACGTTAAATCGCGACCCTATTAATAAACGTCACCGAAGATCTATAAATAGCCCAGAGAGGGAGGTGACAACACTCCACGGCTGCATCGGCAGGTCGCGAAAAGAAGCTGCCAGTGTTAAGTGCGACTATTCTCGCGGCGATGACACATCATCTCCTGATTGGATGGGATCGGTTGCTAAATAAAACCAAATCCCAAGAGCGGAGCCCACGTTCTGGGTTTGCGGTCAATATATAAACAAATCACCCCTGGGTGGTAGTATATCGCCCCACCTCGATTCGATCAGATCTAGCTCGATTTATTTATTGTCACGATCAGCTGTTCGACGTCCGGCACTCTGAGTCATCAAAGAGCGCGCACCAAGGAGACGTTCCCACCTCAGAATTTGACCTTTTGACACCTAGTAGAAACCGAAAAAAATTGGCAGCCATTTTGAAAATTTATACACCTCATTTTCTCTCGTACCTGGCTCAAAAATGTCAAAATTCATTAGGAGAGTGGTCCCCACTCCCAAAAAAAATTTCACCTCGATACACTATAACTTTTGTATTTTTGAAATAATTTTCAAATTTACAGCTTTACAAATCATAGTTATCCTTGCTCCGTCTTCGTCAATCGGAACGAGTGGCGCCCGGCGAATGAGGGTAGCGAATGTTAATAATGACGAGACCAGTATGTGGGCAGAGGATGCGAGTCATTTAAACTGAAACATTCACGAGTATACATATATATATGTTCGTATGGTTAATCGCATTGGGTGGCGTTAGTTAACGTTGACGCTGACGCTGGTCACGCGACCAAGTGAAGTCGAGCAGGATTCCGTAAAATCTCTTAAATTGACTGGTGGGTGTCTTGGCAGGCGCGCGTGCGCTGCCTCCTGGCAAATGAGGAAACGGCCAACTAGCCGCATCATTTCCATCATTGACGAACTACGTGCTTCTTCGTATCTTTACTTTAACCACCTACAAGCATTTCGAGTCATGACACTACCGGAAGTAACCACCCCGATATAGTCCCTTTATAGAGATTATTAAGTACCAGGTGATTGGACGTGTTATGATTGTCGTCAAACGTTAACCTGGTGGTGTAAACGTCATTAAGACCCATCGGATAGCAAAATTATTATCGTATCTTAATTTTGAAAAAATTATTTCACTATAAGTGCGACCTCAGGAAACAAGCTCGCTCTCCAAGAATCATTAGTTACCGTTAGATTCCTTTGGGTACCGTATTGTTGTGTTTGAAATTTTGAAAAATTATTTTTTTGCAAATTTGACACAAAGTCCTTTTTCAAATATCATTGACAGTCTTGTTGATACCATTTGGTGTGATTGGGTACCGTAGGCTACCTTAATGATTTTTATTCTCTGAATTTGTTCTAGAAGCTTTGAAATGCGTCGAGCGTAAATGCGACTTTAGCTTGTTACATATATATATATATGTATATGACTCCTGGGATTTCGTCTTCTCGTTGTTGGAACATTGGCTAATGGTACCAGTTTCACCGTGTACTCGTTACGAATATGATAAAAAGACATAACGGACAAGGTGAAGCCAGGCGACCAGCTAGATGGACCTGGTACCTTTTTAGTTCGTAAGGTCACGGGAACTGGTCTCTTTTGCGTCGGACGGGAACTTGTTTTTGAAAAAGCATCTGACAACCGCGAGAAATATTTTACTCGGTTCTGAGTGAATGACTTGAATTCGATGTACACTTGGTACCAGTTGGCCTCAGGTACCATTTAAGATGGTACCTTCAATGACCAATGTCCTTGTGATCGTCCTTGTCCTTCAGGGACAGGTACTTTAGTCATTGGCTATGTTAAAAATTATCACGTCATTTGAATTCACTTCAGAGCTTTCCATTTCGCTTCGCTGTGCGTCATTTGGCCCCATTTCAGAAATTTTAGAATTTCTTTTTTATAATGGAAAGGAAATCATTTTGATATCGACTTTTTGGTACTTTTACGGTAATTAGCTGTCTTGGTGGACAGTTTTGAATTTTTATTGATCGATTCAAAAATTTTACTGTTTTACCATAGTTGATGATATTAGTATATTAATTTTGATAATTTCAATTTTAGTTGCTCATTTTATTTACTTCTTAATTCATAGTGATCGGATTTTCATAGGCTTTTGTTGTTTGGATAAAAAATAAGGAATTCGTGAAAAATTATTTTTTGTAAGTGATACCAGTCAGAATTACAATGTTCAGATATTCATCGTTCATCGTATAACGAATTTTGAGTGGACATATAAAAAAAATTTTTTTTAATTACAGATGCGTTGGGAACCGGGAGTTCTTCGTGGCACAGCGAAGATGGCGGACCTACTTCACGACGGGGCGGCGAGACTCCCTCTTCCTGTGCGACGCCGACGTCGGCTAGTTTTCCATCGGAACCGGAAGCTGACGTTGAGAACGGTGGACCGGGTGACGGTAACAACCCTGCTGCTCCATATCCTTGTCAGTTCTGTGACCGAACTTTTCCACGGCTGAGCTACCTCAAGAAACATGAGCAGGTAAGAACCGGAAGTTCAATACTAAATTAAATAACGTTTTTCACTTGCACCACCAAGGACTGCCTTAATAATAGAAAAAAAATAATAATTTTACCTCAATACCAAAATAGTTACTGAAAAATCCATACGCCAACATCGTTCAGGAGAACAGTCCGCTTGATCCGGTCTCTCCCCTACCTATTTCGAGCACCGAGATCTACAGATTGAAGCGTATAAAACGAGGGTAGACGAAGACAGCTAAAAAGAAGGAAAAGAAGACGAACAAGAGGAAGCGATGCTCGATCTATTCAGCTTCCACAAGATCAGCATCCAAAAACTTGAAATTCCAGATGCGCAAAGTTACTCCTCTGACCCGAGTCCATTACACGGATTCCTCTCTTTTGCATGGCGGTGGCATTAGGCATGTTTCCGCGTTTACTCTACCTCGGGTCATCTCGAGGTCAAAATCTGTGTCGTACGATCCGTAACAGGTTGTACCGGCTGTCCAGGTGCTCGAAACGAGGCCTGATTCGCGATTCTCGCGAAAAGCCAGAGATAGACCTCGACGGTTCATCACGTAAAGGTCAAACAGAGGGTGCACGCGTGATACCAGCCAGAAAAAAAAGATGAACTTCCTGTATCCTCATTCGGAGTTGAAAATCGTAAAAGTCCATTTAAAAATTACCTACTTCCGGTCCCCGAAAATATTCTCCAACGCTTCTTCGAGTAATCTTTGTTCTCGAGTCTCAAGCGAAAAAAAAATATCTCATCCACATTGGCCATTCTTCATATCCTGTCAAAGGAGCCGCCGAAGAAGCTGCCCACCTAACCCATCAACCTAGCTACGTGCCAGGCTTAAACCACGGACGTAACGTTTCGCTCGACTTTGAACTCAGAAGAAGTCGAGATGAGCGACTGGCGACAAAGGGCCCGACCATATGGGACCGTATCGTAAAAACCGATCTCGATGGGTGACACTCGGCAATGCTGGACCGTCTCAGGAACGAAAGTCAACCCATGCATTTTGTTCTTCTCTCGCGTGTACGTCCTCCATTTGTAAATTCCACCCCCGTCTTCCTCAAGCAGTCATACACAATTCGTATCTGCGTTCAAATCATTCCCGCCGAAGACTGCCAATGTCTGCGCATGCGCAGTATCGGCCGCGCATCCACGGCGATAATTGGGTCTCTTAACGATCTCGTTAAACAAAAAAAGCGTCTGCTGCTCAGCTACCATTGCTAATGTTATCCCATCCGTTAGTTCTCGGTCTTCCGTACGACCTCGATGATGTCTTCTCGATTATGAGAGAGGTGGCGTTAATAAAGCCAAGCCGTGGAGGCGTTTCGTGCAATCAGTAAGTTAGTTCCGAGAGCATCCGCAAGGGTTAACGAGGCATGTCGGTCGAAGAAAATACACAGTGGATTTGTTAGGTTATAATTGATCAACGATTGCTCGACTTCGGTGGTATTCCTTTATTGGGTGACTATTTATTATATCCTGTCTTTCTTTCTTGTTTCAGAGTCATGGCGATCAGATGCCCTATAGATGCAGCTGGTGCGCCAGGTTATTTAAGCACAAGCGCAGTAGGGATCGTCACGTGAAATTGCACACGGGCGATAGGAGATATCGATGCTCGCACTGCGAAGCTGCCTTTTCCAGAAGGTATGAAGAAAAGAAAAATATATATACACAGTTACATATAGATATAAATTATCTTCCATTCACGTCCATTGACGTGTCTGCATTCATGTCTTCTATTGGCGACTTGCGTAACTCCTAGTGGCGTTTATTCATTTTCTCAACCATTTAATGTTTCCTTAACGTTGTTTCTGTAGGATTGAGAATCTTCGAAGGATTCACAAATCTCGACTGTAATTCAATACTCAACAGCGAACCGGAAGTCCTTAAAAGATCATCAGCAGATCCTATTTTAATGAAACATTGCTCCAGACCTGTTTCACAATGAGAAGTCAGCACGTGACTCTGCAATAATAACATTGATTAATCAAAACACCAGTCACAAAACGTCACTCCAATCGTATCGCTCACAAATCTATGTAAACACGAACACGTGTCTCAACTGTCATGCATTAAGAAGTCGAACAAGAATCTGTACAATGTCGGCTACCCACGTTTTATCGAAATGAAGTATCCAAACGATTTATAAAAAATTCTTATCATACACCATGATTACATATTTCTTAAATTCTTCAGATATCAAGGCTGTCGCAAAATTCTAAACAAACAAAATCCCAGCCAGATGTTCATCAGGTGATAGAATCGGATCAAATATTAAAACAGCCGCCTATCAAATCCAAAGCGAGAAATTTTCAAGGATACGTTGGGGACTGTGTACGATTCCGGGGAGCGATGTGCTGGGTGACAAATGACTAATGATCACACGGCGACCAAGGGGCTATGGACATTAGTCAAGCTTACTCCTTAGGAGCCCACAGTACTCTCACGTATCGCCGTGGCATTGAGTCCGCGCGTGTATTGAAATGCTAAGCTGCTCCGAGGGGCAACGAAATAGAGAAGTGAAGGGAGTATAGAAAGGAAGGAAGGGGATGGACGACGTTGCCTTCTTGTCCTAACTATACGGACACCCGTTTCAGTATACTAGCACAGGTAGAGGCATAGGTGTTGCAGGACAACAGGTAGAACATTAGTCAAGTGTCTCGTTGCTGTTCCTTTGGTTCATCCGTACGTCGCTTTTGCTTCTCCTATATCCTTTACGGCATACGTGTATATATATATATATATATATATGTGTATGTGGATATAGACATAATATTTTTTCATCCGTACGTCGCTTTTGCTTCTCCTATATCCTTTACGGCATACGTGTATATATATATATATATATATGTGTATGTGGATATAGACATAATATTTTAAGTCGCGGTCAAAACTCGATGCTCAGTTATAAGAAAGATCTATTTTAAATTCTATAATATTATACAGAGGCGCTTAACCCAAGGGGACTTGATTATTCAATTATTGAAAACTTTGTCTGTATGAGATCCGTATATTAATTATTTATCAATTATTCCATTCTGAGGATACTTGACCAAGTCGTAACCGCCACACTGCAACCTGTCAACCAGTATTATAATCGCATCTACAGATCTTTACGCTACGTCTCTATTCGGTTCTTATATGTTACCGCTAAGCGGCTTGGGTGACCTTACTAAGGGGGAGTTGGTCTCAGTGGTTCTCAATTATGTTATATTTCAAGGGGCTCTTCGTACTTTATTAAAATTGTCGTTAAGGGTGTCAAATGAGGTTGTACCAGATATTAAAATATTTTTTTATTGATAGACATATATATATATTACTAATTATCATTGTTATCGATACCAGGAAATGATAGACTCAATTGCCCTTGATACGGTGGTTGCGATCGAGGAACAGGTGAAACTTAAGAGAAAAGCATTTCCCTCTGCCGATAGAATCGTTACGATCCGAAATCGTTTTTGTCGCACGGAATGCGGTAGCCGAAGAGGTGTAGAGCCTGGACAGTTCTCAGGCTTTGGGCATCCGATCTAGCGTCACGTTTTTGACCCCCCGCGATCATTGGTTCTGGTCGGTCTTCTTATTGTGGGTCCGGAAGTGGAGAAGGGGAGTCGAGGAGCGAAGAGGGTATATGGATGAAGTGGGGATGGGGCGATCTAGAGCAGAGAGAAAGAGAAAGAGAGGGGGGGGGGAGAGTGGAAAAGAGAGAAAATAGTAAAGCCACGTGACGGGGGTGGTGGGTGCCGTGGGAAATGAATCTGACCACGCGAGTCGGATAAACTCGACTGGGTGGGGCTTAAGTTTCCAATCCATTTACTTCCATTTATTTCACGGTCAACAAGGATAGCCATCCCCACCGTTTGACGATCGCCATTTTTATTGGCCAACTGTCTCGGCTTTACGCACGCTAATCAATTAAGCCGTCATACTCTTTTTTTTTTTTATATTGATTTCGATTCCCGGTAACCGGTGGGGTCGTCTCTTGATTTACACCAATAAAAAATCTTGTCGATTCACAATCGATCAATGGCAATTATTGAGCGGTTTGATTTTCGGGGAATCGGCGAGATAGAGAAAGAGCGAGACGATCAGATCGTTCACTGGGATCGATCATACTGCGAACGAGGATCATGATTATCCTTTCAGGGAATTGATAAAATTGAAAAGTAGGGGGGTACTGTTCGTTGTTTTGTACTCAACCTCGTTTCCTCGGACATCTTGATCAATTTCTTAATGCATTTTGACTGCCCGTGACTGGGACCGTTTTGGGTCTTCAAAAAAATTGGAGCTATACTGTCATATAATGTTCTTGTAAAAGTTCATGATTTAATCGTTGATCAAATGGGACTATTGGATCATTGCCAGATTCGATTGGCTCCTGTATTTAGGGATTGACTGATCGACCTCGTTTGAGAATTATTTATGATAATTATCTAATCGTTTTATTGTTTGTTAGTGCATTGATTTTTTTCCTTATTTAAAATCAAGGGCAATTGATGGACGTAAATTTTGTATTAGGAATTGTGTAATACGTTCATCCATTGTAATGCAGTTATCCGATAAAGCTCTATATTTCAGTAATAGAGATGAACTTGATTAACGAGTAAAATTATTTATATCTCTAAAAGGCTTCAAGTATTTTGAAATACATTTATTTGTATATACCAATCCGATGCAGTTGGAAGTGACCGTAATCATTTTTCCATTACTCATTCGACAGGTTAAAAGTTGAATATTTTTATTTGACTGCGTAAAGTGAGAGTTCATGTTGCTTTGAATGGAGACAAGTCAATTAGTTTTAAGAGATGCAGTTACAATAGTCCTATTACTTGATTACAATTCTATATCTCATTTCATTCGAGCTTCATTAGATTGCTTATGAAATACCAGATATAATTGTATTATAAAAATTTTATTTCACATAAATCACCACATATGGAAATACATATAATTAGAATGCCAGATTATCATTTATTCCTATGTCAAGGCTCAGCATGCTCTATTCAGAATCATTGACTGGTCACTGATATTTCATATGAATACTTTTCTTTCCAGTGATCACCTCAAAATCCACATGAAGACCCACGACACTCAAAAGCCATTCCAATGCACCGCATGTTCACGTGGCTACAACACAGCAGCAGCCCTGACATCCCACATGCAGTCTCATAAGAAGCACCAAGGAGGTTCAAAGTTGGAGATGGAATTTGGTCGGAGAAGCGTATCCTCCCACAGCACATCCTCACCGCCAGTACCAAACTCACCGTCAACGAGTCCAAAGCTAGGCCCGACCTTGAAGCATCCAATGACAAAATTATCACAGTCAGCAACTAGCGCTTCAAACACGCCCATCCTTAGTTCACCATTAAAACTAGCATGTATGTACTGCACGCGTGACTCCTTCACGAGTATGCAGCAGCTGCAGATGCACGTGCACACGATGCACCAGGGTATTGTGAGCGGAGAACATCTGATAATGCCTTCGCCAGGTCGACTGTCGGAAACACCAAGTACTACCAACCGTGAACCAATGTATGAGCGCAAGTACGTGGAAGAACGCGAGAGGCCAACGGAAAGAAACGACTCCTATGAGAACAGCTTCTCCTGCGGCCAATGCACCATGAAGTTCCCAAGTCTAGGTACACTGAGAGATCATCTGATCTCGATTCATCGCACAGCAGATGGATTCGGCGGTGCTCTTATGATGTGTCCACTTTGTGGTATACCTTGCGCCACGGCTGCTGCCTATGCGGAGCATTACGTCCTTCAGCATTGTGAGAACCGTAGGATGGGTTTCGAAGAGGTCCGGGAAGCCAGGGATGGCAGAGAGAGTCGAGAGTATTCGGAACCAAAGACAAATGATACATTAAAGGATTCCGAGGGCGGTTACGAGCCTTACGAATCGTATGAACCGTATGAGTCGTACGAGCCATACGATGGGAGGAAGGAAGGTCGGCCGCGTGATGAGCGTGGGACCACAAAGATTCCTAGGGAAACTGGTCCAGTGGAACCTGCCGACCTGACCAGCAAACACGGGAAAGCCAGTAGCGACAGCTACTCCGCAGGCACGCTTCTCTGTGGTCAATGCGGCGCTGCTCTCAAGGACTTTGAATCCTTTCGCGAACACCTTGCGAGACACCTGCAGGCGGATCAGAGGAACGAGGTGCTGAAGAATCCTTGTCCGAAGTGTGATGCGTCCTTTCATGAACGGGAGGATATGCTGGACCATTTGACTAAGCACTTTCTAGGACAGACTAGTAAGGAGTACTGCTGTGCCGCGTGCAAGAAGTTCTATCCTCATCCTGATCTACTTCAGCGACATCTCTTGGATGCTCATGCACATCATCTCTACCGGTGCGCTCTATGCCGTGATACTTTTGACTCCAGGGTGGCTATTCAGGTACACTTTGCCGTGAAGCATAGCCAGGAATGTAGGATCTACCGATGCAACGTTTGTTCAGCATCGAACAATGAGAATTCTCCTGGGAATGCACCTGTCGAAGGTCGTACTCTGTTTCGGAGCGAGGCTGAGATGGCTAATCACGTTAGAAGCGTCCATGCACCACCTCTTGGGGATAGTCCTCTACCTAGGAGTCCAGCATCGACTCCAGGAGTTCTAATGCATCCGAGTCCTCGGTGTGTCTTCTGCGGGGTCTGCTGTACCTCTGACCTCGAGTTGCAGCTTCATCTGGCTAGCCATGCTACTAGCCTGTACCGGTGTCCTATTTGCCGTGAAGGCTTTGCCGTTGAATTCCTCTTAGAGAGGCACCTGGCGCATGCTCATCGCACTGCTGAACTCCCTTCTAACGTCCGGAACAACATCCGGGCACTTCGTGCTACCAGATCTCAGGATGACTCTGCGGTAAGTATCTGGAACTCGCTACTGTGCTATTTAATGATGAACAGATCGGCGGTAATGACGAATCAATGATCGTTCCTGATTGTTCATTCGTAGGCGAGACCTCCATCTCTGAAAAGAGGACGTTCACCGGCATCCAGCAATAACAATTCTCTTAATCAACGTGACAATAACAACAAGAGGCTCAATTTTGGTACTCCTGGTGGACAGCGCTGTGAACTATGCGACAGGGGTGAATTTGCGAATGATGCTGAGCTACAAGCGCATAAGAAATTGGCCCACGCGCCTTCGGTTCCTCCACCACCGCCACCTCCGCCACTTCCACCACCGTCACTACCCCCAGCACCTTCTTCGTCTTCGTCCACTTCTTCCACTTCTTCTACGAAACTTCAAAGCAAGTCTCTTGGGACCACTCTCAGCTTAACCTGTGCCTATTGCGGTGAGATCTGTCGCTCCAGGAGTGAACTGGAGTCCCATACGAGAATTCAACACGCATCGAATGAACCTGGTGGACGTCACAAGTGCAACATCTGCGATGAGGTCTGTCCTTCTGGTGCGATACTCGCTGAGCACAAACTCCAGAAGCATTGCAAGATTCAGTTAAGCGATACGTGTCTTGTATGTCGGGCGAATCTCAGCACAGAAGCTCAATTTCTGGAACACGTACAGCGACACAGTTTGGAAGGTGTCGATACCCAGCAAAGACTTGATAACGCTTTACCCCATCTTCCGGCAGGGTGTATAGTCTGCAGGCAGACTCTTATGAGTGAACTTGAATGTAGACTCCATGCCAGGCATCATTTAAGGCCTAATTGTGGTTCCAGAGGATCTGGTTTAGGGTCGAGTTCCAGTCCAAATTCAGGACAACAAGAACATTCCCAACTACAAAAACCAAGCTGTTGTCTCTGTTTACGTGAATTGAACTCTGAGGATTTTGTTAGTCTTCCTGCTAATAGGAGTAGTGTTACTGGTCAGCCGTTACGTGTCTGCAAGTTATGCTATGTCAGACATTCTCAGGGTCTACCCATTCTTAATTCACCTTATGAACTCATCCGTTCTGGAAAAGAAAGGTGGGACAGTGATAGGAAACATAAATCCGAAGAGAGTGTTGTTGCTAGTGAGAATAGAGGTGTTAATGATGCAAGTACAACTAGATGCGAGGACTGTGGTGTCAAGTTTGAACTTCCGGAGGAACTTGAGAAACACAGAATGGCAGAACATGAAGTTAAGGTTTCAGGAAGTGGACCAAACACTTATACCTGCATTCAGTGTCAGGTACTTATGACTTGGAAATTTGTTAGTTATTTGAAATGTCCATTACCTGTTCTATCTATATGTTCTTATTCCTTGTGTCTGTTGTTTTTTAATTCTATAGATGTCCTTTGCTACGGAAGCCAAAATAAGGCAGCATGTAAGGCTCGAACACTTGGAATCATCTGGGAAAGGATTTGTCAATGCTCTACGATGTCATCTATGCCTCTTCGAAGCCAGCAGTCCTCTTCAACTTCAAGGTCATCTCATAGAACACACTTTTGCTGGCTGTGCAGCACTTTCTTGTTACATTTGCCAGTCTCTTTTCACAACACCTATTGGCCTTCAGGTAAATTTTTGAGAATAGAAACACGTTATAACTCTTTCGTAATTCATTAAAAAGATCCGGACCAGTAATCCTTTTCGCATTGCAGAATCACATGTTACAACAGCATGGCCTTGGTGCTCGTCCCTACGACTGTTCCCTCTGTAGCCTCAAGTTCTTCTTCCGAGTAGAGCTAGACCATCACATAGTAACATTTCATCGAAATACAAGTGAGTCTATTCAGTCCGAAGAACCTATTCGAAGTAGCCTGGATCATCCACAAGGTCTAGAAGAAGAGAACGGAGTGAAAGAGCAACAATTGGAACAAGAAGTAGAGAACTCTGGTAATCAGGTCACCATTAAAGAGGAAGTAGTACTACCAGTAGAAGAGGAGGAAGAAGAGGAAGAAGAACAAGAGGAGGACGTAAACGTAGACGAAACTGTTGATCAAAGTATCTCGTGTGACGTGGAGGATTGCGAGAAAGTTGTATTGGATGAGAAAATTGCTGATTCGAAAATCGATATTGAACTCCCAACGGAGAAGACTGATTGTGAATCTGGAAACTGAAGTTGCGAAACCTTTGAACAATTTATTATTTTGTCATCGTCACGTGACAATTCCTACCGCTCTCTATGCGACTGTATATAAAATACGTTTCCTTATTCTCAATATCCTCTTTGTCGCGAGGAATTTAATTTCTTTTTTCTATCAGCACATAGAAAATGATCATGAAGAATTCTTAAGGACAATTATTCTCTGAGTACAACGAACTGTAATGAATGTTTTTCTCACTCGTTCTCAGGCTTTCTCCTTCTCTTTCTGTCTTGAAATTTTTATCACAATTTTAATTAATTTTCTTATCAGTCTATCTCAAGTGATTAGTACCACTTCATGTTACTTATATTCTTTTTAAAAATTTCAATGCATTGTGCTAAATCGTCTCGTTTGCATTCATCGCGCTTAATCATTAACAAACATTTCGTTGATTTTTATATATTAAACGTTCGACATCGTTGCAAGTGACGTTTCTTTATGGTTAATTAAGTTATTGCTGGTGGCGATAATGAATTAATAATATTTATACTCGTTAAACGAGCGGATTCATGTAACATTTCTTCTTGTGATGTCAAAACGGCTGACGCGATTTATCGTCATACATTTTGTTAATATAAATATAGGCACTTACCGTCTGCTCCATGTTTTGATTGGTCTATTTGAATTATGCCTGTATCTATATTATCACTATCAAAGGTTATTAATTATCGTATTATAGAAGACATTGAACATTCGCGAGATAATTTATGGGTATAAAAATAGTTTCGCGATCAATCGTAATGTCACAATCTCACAACACAATTGTATGATTCATATTGATAAACAGACATGTTTATACAGTATTATTTCAGTATTATTAATCTAATTAATAATACCCAGAATTAATCGTCAATCGTTTATCGCACAAGAAACGCATGAAGCGTCGATTCGAAGCGCATTCATCTTTGTTACGTTTTCCTTCAATTTTACGTAGCTGTCGTTAAATAATGAAAAGTATATTATTTTACAAGCAATTAATGTCTCGGGCTATCTCATGCGTCCATAAAAAAAATTTCGTCCTGTTATCCAAGAGATGAAAGAAGAAAGAAAGATACGTTACTCATCCGATTCTTATATTTGAATTAAATAAGCGCGTGCTTTAGGAATATTCAAGGAAGACGTTAGTGCTCATCCATACAAGTTTAACTTGTTCTTATTAAGTACATTAAACTTTCGACCCAAGCTCAACAATGGCGATAGTTGTTCTATCGATAAGAGGATATAAAATGAAGTAACAATGGTGTATTTACTTTAAAAAAAGATGCAATAACCTGTCCACTAGGATTAGAAAAGTCGGTAAGATAGTTCTATACGAAATAAATTATTGTTCTAAATCCCGGCTGTCGCTTGAAATATTGGTAGACCAATATTCCCGTCCTGGTAGTTGGTTTTTATTGGACACGCGTTATACTGTCCATAAAATTAAGCTCGTATTTACTGCTTAGGTTGAGAATTTAGTATTACTGTTTAAACCAGGATTAGTGGTAAGTATTGCTCAGTTTCCTATGGGTCGGCTTATGTCTATTTTAATGAACCTTTCGGGTATACTGCAATGTCTGTTGAATTTATTAATTATATTGATCGAGTAAGTGTTGGGTTATTATTGGTACATATACATTTTTTAATTTAAGAATAGATTATTTTGTAATCTTTTTATTCCTACTGTTTAGTTAAGAGAGGCTGCCTTTTATAATTGATAGCTGTTCTTCAGTATTAGTGGACGTTGAATGACGGTGCCATTCCATTATTTAATTATAACATTTTCCAGAATTTTCTACGCGTAGGTACAATCCCAAAATTAACATTATCTGCATCTACCATGGACCAGCCTGCTAACATCTTACGGTAAGAATACATTTTTTTATTTAACGCTACGGCAGTAGAGGTAGTTAATCTTATTGTATGAGGTGGAAGGAAATAGTAGAAGTAGGATTCGAGAACATCGGGAAAAGTAGGAAGGATAAGGGTGCGAAATGGGCCCCTCCGAGGCCCCACAGGGGACCTTGTTTTTTTTTTTTTGATGAGGAAAGGCCCCAAGTTCTACGGCTACCGCGCATAGGACTATAGGGAAAAATCTCAGGAAGGAAAGGAAGTCCGGTCGAGCGTCAAGGAAAACGCACAAGGGGTAAGGTAAGTTAAACGCGAAAGGTCTACCCCTAGTCAAGAATTCGTCGCAACGAGACCACGGACGTAGCACCTGATGGCGCCCTTGCGAGCACCGCCAGGACGTCCCGAGGGACGATATTTGACGCTACAACCACTGTCCATTCTCATCGAGCAAGCTCAGTGATTTAGACGTAAGCGACCTCGTCCGCCGCCTGTATATACTGAATTATTATTGTATTTGCTGAATAAATTATCTTGAAACACTTATACTTTGATATTCTTTAGCCCTCTGCGAATATCCCAGAGTACGAATGAGTACCGTCTCTTTCTTACTTTCCTCCGTCCTAACAGCACCCTTCTACTCCTCCTCCATTTTCTCTGTCATTATTTGCATTCCATCTCTGCCATATTAACCATATCTTGACTTCGCTTTTCTTCATTAATACTACCTTCTACGATAAAATGATTCCAAATGTAAATTGAAAGTCGCATCGTCGAAAACTCAGTGGGGCAATTGTTAAATAAATTTGCATTAGTTCGAATTTTCGCCGATAAGAGGGCAGCACCTCCTGGGCATGATAGGTGGCGCCATCTCTGGGGCAACCAATGAACTTTCTCCGAAAGAAAATCCCGAATATAATTCGAAAATCAGCTGTATCTCAAAAAGGGCTGGGTTCAAGACTCTTTTCTTGATATTTTGAAAGATCTCTCTATGCAGAAACATCAGAATAGTTCATGTAAGATGCTGGTGCAGATCAAATTGCGATAGGGCACTTTTAAAAAATCCCTTTACCTTGAGTCCTCGAGAATGCTTCTTTGTACATTAAGTTTATTTTCATTTTTTGGGTTTATTCTTGAAAATAAGGACAATCATAAAAAGAATAATGAAGAATAAGAGTAAGAATTTTCAGGAGGGATCGCCGTACTCAAAAATCCTGCAATAAGTCCGCTAATATGGAATACCAAATTCAAGATAAGAAACTGAATAAAGTAAGACTGCGAATTTCATGATACTAGGTAATATAAAAGTTACAATATTTAATAGACTAATGGTTTATTTATATATTATTAACTGCTCTTACAAGTATTGTATATAGATGAAAAATGAGAACGATGTTGTATACGTAAGTAATAAGTTCATAATTATACAGAAAATATACGATTTTTAATCATGCACAAGGTACAGTTACGAATAATATTATTGATTGCTGTTATAATTACATATTATCTGAGTACTGGTGCGTTGGCATGTTTTATAGTATAGATATACATCTGTTTCTCAAAAAAATATTTCGATATACAATGTGGTATGAAACTGCTTTTACATAGTATGAAATTTCGTGGAACATTGGACGGTTACGATAGACTATTCATGTGGTACGTTTTCAGTACAGTTGTACTAAACAAAATAATAAAGAAAAATGTTATATCACAGCAACAAGCCTTATATGGAATTAGCTGTAATAAGTGTTAAATACGATTTACAATTAGATATAATAGAATTTTAAAATATATATTATATAATTATCTAATTGATACTACAATTATTAGATACTTGACAGCCAATTATAAGAAAGTAATACAATGTCTTGGTCCGCATCACTAGGACTAGTTTATTCTCTTTTTTTTTTGAATACCTCACTAATGTTTTGAATCATTTAAAAAGCATATGAAACACATTTTGCATTATTTTATTCTGTAATAAACTTGGGCTAATAATTGCTTTTCATTTTTTCTCCAAAATCTCTTTCCGTTAACCTCATGGACAAAATTGAAATATAAAATTATCTTTTCTCTTATTGCATTACATATGGAGATAAGCCACTTGCGTTTTGAACTCTTAATTACTACAGTCGTTATAATGTTGTTGAAGTGACAGCGCTCACCCCATGCACCAGTACAGTTGGTGGTAAGTCAACTGTTAATTCCGTCAACAACTGCAGATACTGCATATGCAATGTGTCCTCTGCCCAAGCATTGGCAACTGGTGGCGCTGGCAAATATATAAAAACAGCTGCTGTCTGAGAGGAGTGATTGCGAATGAGTTGGTTAACGCTGAAAAAATAATTGCATTATTTAAAAAACGATTGTAATATTTGATGACAAGTGATAAGAAAGGAGTATAATAATAATCTTACCTCAATACGTAAGCTCTGGATGCATTACTAACTTCATCATCAATTGGATCTGTGCTGGATTCATAATAACTCTCTGGCTTTGCTTCGATCAAAGGTCTACCTTTTAATCCACCGATCTGTGTTTCGAAATTCTCAATTTTCTCAATCGAAGCAGAAATCCTTAACATATTCAACAATTTTCTTATTCTGTGTTCATTTGACATCTTCATAAATTCATTGGGTAAATTATTCGACTCTGCAATGTTTAAGTTTGAAGATACTTCAACACTAGCAATTTCACAGTGGAAGACTCTGAGGTGTAAGTTCTTCCAGACCGGAACCATATTAATAATACATGCTAGTTGAAGCATAAAAAGTGATGTTGTATCGAAAGGATCTTGATCGGATGGTTGGAAAAAGTTCACAGGCCAAACATCGATGTACTTCAAGTTTGAGTTTCTGTGAGAATAAATTTCCAATACCATTAATCAAATCATTGTTACACGATAAAGAACTCTACATAGTAACAAATAACAGTATACTAACTTCGTTATACGTGACTTGTCAAGCAAGTGGAAGTTTCTGCATACACACAAATTCTTTTTCATTCGAAGAACATCCAAGCACATTCGGACATATTGAAGAGGATCAAGTGATTTCTGAGTACCTGGTTCTCTCAATGGGAACACAGGACCATTAGCAGATGTCGTAATATTGTCAAATATATTGGTAGCATATTGCGAGTTCTCAAAGAAATTATTTGGCGTCTCCTCATCATAAAATCCAAGAATTATAGTATTTGGTTTCATAGCACCCATACCAGACAATCTTATCAAATGATGTAAGCCCTCTCGTACGGTTTTTGTCATTGTTAGTTCAACAAACGCCTTAACTTTCATATGATCAACGAGACTCAACCAATGGGGATACTCATCCATTGTTGGATCAGTACTCTGTCCAGAAAATTCGCCAACCTTAACATGACCAATGACGTAAAGTCCTCCCTTCTTTAAGTCATTAACAAAATGAATCAGTGGACACATCGATCTTGGCGATGAGACCATAAGGAGCATCTGCGGCCTCCAAAACTTTACGTGATCCTTTCTCGAGTCTAACATAAGAAGATACTTTCGAACCTGATGGAATATCAAGGCTTGGGATATGCTACCCCATGGTGCATTCTTGCTTGGTGAGAATAAATGCAATACGATAACAAGTATTAGACACAGAATTATGCTGCTGGAAGCATAAATGCTGTTTGTGGTGAACATCATTACGAGTGTCCCAAGAAGGCCAATGGTTGCCGTGTGCCAAGTGAAATAATTGAATGTTGGCCTGGAATTAGATAACAATATTTAAATGATTTGACAGATAGTTGACGCCGATGAATGTCAATATTGCCTTTGATAAATTTCTTGCAGTCTCAATACCACGTTACCTAAAGTTCGGTGCGCTTGCTAATTCCAGGCCGAGGCAAGCAAGATTTGTAGCCAAATAGCTTAATAGAAATAGTACAGTGTTAATTTGAGCTATGGTGTTCAGAGATCCAATTAGTAAAATTACTTGTACAAGACTCCAAGACGTAAATACAGCGGCAACGGGATTGCCACGCCAAGTTCCATGTGTTATGAAATTCAAGCCAGATCCTGAGTAATTAAAAGTAATTATTATTATTACAGTTAGAAATTATTTATAACGTTGATGAAAAGACTTACCAAAGACATTATCTTTAGCTAAAGCTTCTAACACTCTGCTAGATCCAATCAAATTACTTAAACCAGCGCTGAATGTTGCTGTCAAAAGACCAACAGCTACGAATGGCGGCCAGATATTAATTGGCATCATGTACATGAAATTATTTTGCAATAAAAATCGGCTTGTTGTTGCGGCAGTAAGTACGGACAGTACAATATAGCAGATAAAGGTGAACAATACAGCTGACAATGTACCACGAGGTATGTTTTGTCCTGGATTTTTTAATTCGCCTAATTGTCACGGAAAATGAAGAGTAAATATTAAAAATATCATTTACAATGAAACCTAATTTTTTTAAAACTCTGTATTGTGCATTCGTTCAATACATACCACTCATATTTGCTCCAGCCATAATGCCAGTCACACCGCTGAACAGTACTCCAAAAACACTTGCAAAATCTGTCATTCTTCCATCACTTGAATAATCTGCGGTATAATTGGCATACAAGTTTTCTGCCAAAGTTGATGCCAGTAAACCAGTATATGTCCCATTAACACGATGCGTATCATTTTGTACCAACTTGTTAGCCACGGGTATCAATACCTAAAAAAATTGTATTGATCATTCTACGCCTATGCTGGTCTTTCCTTCATCAGAATAAACTGCATTGAACTGTTACCATTATACTTAAAATAATTAATGTGACTTAAATTGATGAAAACAAAAACGTACCTCCATATGTCCTTGTACTAAAAAACTGATAATCACACTTCCAAGACAAATGCAAACAATTGCCAAAATAGCAACGCTGGTCTTTGCAAACATTGCAGCACCGATCAGGCATACCAGAAGATTTGCGGTATTTAATACGGAACAATATAAAAATCTCCACCAACTTCCATCTGGGATAAGTGCGTTGGTACCAGTTAAGTAACCCGAAGGGCCAAAATTTTCCACTAATCCTTCGGCACAGCCAGATATGCATAAAGCACTTGATACAATGTTGGCCATAAAGAATAATGTTCCAATAGATCCTCCAAATTCAGGTCCCAGGGTACGACTGATCATAACTGAATACCATTTAGGAAAATATTGCAATTTTGTATTATATTACAGATGTTGCATATTGATAATTATTCACAAATTGATATTATAAGCATTATAAAATAACGTTTAAATAAAAAAGATATTAGGCAGCCATAGTTTGTTTGAATTAAGATAATCACTGGCAACTACTCCTTAGGTTAATAATACTTTTTAAAAATGATTGTAATAGTTATGCAAACAATTGGGGAAATCATTACATTAAAGATAGTAATTAGGTTTAAGGAAAAATTGTCTCATGATTATATCACACATATTTTTGAGATATTATGTAAGTTTCGCCAACGCGTTTTTAAGCTTGAATGACTAATACTACACACAATATGGTCTGTTAGAAGTACCTATATAGTAGTTTCCCTATACTGTTTAAAAGGATACAATAAGCACCACCTCCCTCAACTGCTCCATTTGTTGAGATGGCACAAACTGATGCGACAGTAAATACCAAAATTCCATAGGCAATTATAAATTGTGTGAGAGTCACTAGTAAACCTGCATTTCCAACAATATATCCTGAAAAAGTACAGAGAAAAAATTTGTAATATATTGATACTAAATTTATTTAGAATAATTATAAACTAGCATATGCTGAGTCTCTCGACACTAGTAACACAGTATATAGTTCACAAAGGCAATATTAAACTTTGAAACAATTACCCATTCGTATGAAAACTAAGGCACTGAACATTGACAGTGTAACAGGACTGAAAACACCTGCAAATGTTCCCAATGTACGTCCACTCTCAACACCGAGACTGCCAAACTCGACATATCCATCACTTTCAGAAGATGATGTCTTTCCAAATTTAAAGAAATTGCTCAATCTAGAAAAAACTCCATTGCCATGAATCAGTGGAGCTTTCTCACTGGATATTCTGACATTAACTGGGTCTGCATTTGTTGAACCAATTTCAGAAGCTAACATTTTCTATGGCTCACCTGTTGAATAAAAGTAAAAAAAATCGTATACATAAACATATTAAAATACAATTTGCATTTCTATTGTTACAAAAGGTTCACATCCAAATTGGAATACTATTGAAACAAATGATATACTAATCCACCCCCTCAATAGATGCATATGTGAAGTGCATTCAATTCTAAAGAAAGAATAATTGAATAATGTAATAAAAACGCTCTACAAAGATTTCACATTCCAGTCACAGATATTTAGTAAACAAAATTATTCTTATCTATAAACATACGTGAAATTATACACTTCGCATAATAAAACTGAATGATTTTATAAGTTAGTCACACAAAAATGATGACATGAATTGAAACGTCAACTATCGCACTGCCAAATCTGTCAGTGTATGAGATGAGTAATTAACTCCAACTGTACTTTGCATTCTTTTATGCGAATTTATTTATTACCGGTAATTATGATTGGTTAATTCTATCTAACTCTGCATTCTAATTAGCTCTTGAAGTTAGATATTTTTGGGGAATTTCCTTCCTTCCTTTCCTTATGGCTGACTCCTCCAATCAGGAGATGTGCCAGGCTAGGAGAATTTAATTCCCCCGTTACTCCTCAGGCATTGAGTAACGAGATAGATGGATCACTAAAAATGAATATATACAAATCTGCGTTCGTAAAGTGCATACTGTAAAGTGAACTAAAATTCAGAGTCGTTTTGTTACGTTTCTAACTAAATGTGAAGTCTATGCAACAACGTGACATTTGAAACATAGAAGCAACATGGCGTTCATGACTAAAGGTGACTGGTATAATTCTCAAGCATTTTGGCAAAATGGACCTGCACCTGGTGCGATTTATAATTTTCCAGGCAACACAGCACAGTCTGAATCCAACGGTTTCCAACGATCACAGTATGTTGGCATTTTATTTAATATTGTATTATATGCTCATTCAAGTTTAAAAGTTGCATGTCATAAAGATTGTTGAACATTGTATTAAACATCAAACATTATATCTTGTCGAGTTATCAACGAATGTTAGAATAATTTGGCACGTTAGACACTTCAACTTCTATATTTTTGTTCAATTGCAATTCTTGCTTTTATTATTCTGCAACCTATTATTTTCCACAGAGCTCCAATAACTACTGGTACATCGGTGCTTGGACTTCATTATAAGGATGGCGTTGTTATAGCTGCTGATGTACTTGGATCTTATGGTTCATTAGCCAAGTATAGAAATTGTGAACGTCTTATGAAAGTCAATGATAATATTATTTTGGGTGCTGGTGGTGATTTTGCTGATTTTCAATATATCAAGAATATCATTGAGCAAAAAATGTAAGCAGTGGACGTTAAGTTGGAACAATGGATGCTTTAGTGCCATTAAGAATTATTATAAAATATGGTTTCAGTCTTGAAGAGGAATGCTTGGATGATGGATTTTCTCTCAAGCCAAAGTCTCTACATTGTTGGTTAACTCGAGTGATGTACAACAGAAGGTCCAAGTTTGATCCTTTTTGGAATAATTTCATAATTGCTGGAATGGATGATGACAAGCCGTATGCATATTTATATTTTTCATTTTGTATAATCTCTGTTACTACTGCTATGTACCTGAAAAATATAACATATTAATTTAACAGATTCATGGGTACCGTTGATAAACTTGGTACAGCATATGCAGATCCTGTTATTACAACTGGATATGGCGCCTACATGGCAACACCACTTCTTCGAAAGGCTTACGAAGATAATAAAGAGATGACGAAGGAAGAGGCATTACAACATATACATAAATCAATGCAAGTTCTCTTCTATCGAGATGCAAGATCTTTTCCCAAGGTACCTTCCTTCTTGATTCATTCACAATCAATCCTGTTTTCATAGATGGTTTGTTCGTTAATACAAAAATCAATACATTAAAATTACGTTTGTATTTTTTTCCAGTATCACGTTGGTATCATAAACAAAGATGGTATAGAGATCAAAGGACCACTTACATTAGAAAGCAATTGGGAAGTTGCTAATATGTAATTGATGCATTTTTAAAATTAAAATTACTGTAAAATTACCTTTCTTAAATAAAGCGTAACGTCAGTTTGTCTATGAAACTACCTTTTTTACACTTAAAAATAAAACGAACCAATATTCCAGTTTGCTTTGGAATTCAGCATTCAAAGTATTAGTGACGCGAGTGTGTATTTTTAACAATGTTAATTATTAAAATAAGTAAATGCTTATAACTAAATCTGAGTAGTATGAATGTATGTGTCCATCAAACATTTAAATCTGAAGAATTGCACACTCAAAGGGTTAACAGGTTTAGAACTTACATAGAAGAAAATACCGTTAGGGATTCACCTATTTTCTATTGCAAATTCTTTAAGTCACTCATAGCAATTTTATTTAACAAACATTATGAGTTCAATTAATAAGTCAATATATCACAGCCAGTGTCTGTAATTAAAATAGTATGTTCCATTTGAGCTGTTCGAGCATCATCCACTGTAACTGCGGTCCATCCGTCCTCTAGAATTTCAACTTGTGGTCCACCTTGAGTTAATACTGGCTCTATAGTAAAAGTCATTCCTGGTTGCATTTGTCCACCATACCTATTAGCTAAAAAACGATATACATTTTAAGTAATGCTTGATGATAATTGCTTCAAAAGTTAAGAAAACTGTTGGTGTATTACCATAGTGCAAAATCTCTGGAGGTCCATGAAAATAATTGCCTATGCCATGACCAGCAAAAGCAGGGACTATATTGAAACCATGTTTGTTCGCAATTTCTTCAGTTATTTTACCTGATCAAATAACAGTTCATTACAATCTAAACTTGCTTAGAGCTTATACAACAGCTGATCACATTTGACAAGAATAAAGATCATGTCTCAAATCTATAATGCTTACCAATGGAAGAAAAATTTTCGTTTGGTTTACATATGTCAATGGCAGTCCTTAGACATTCTTCAGTTACTTTGATTAAACGTTTCGCTTCATCATCTACTTCACCCACTTGATACATCGTAGAACAATCTCCGTGATAACCATTCAAATAAACCTGATACACGAATTCACAAACTCTGTAGAATAGTAAATAAAGTACATTGAATATTGATATATAATTTTAAAAAAACGTACCACTCACCGTCACGTCGACATTTAATATGTCACCTTCTTGTAATGGCCGATTGTCAGGAATTCCATGACACGCAACATTATTAATGCTAGTGCATATAGATTTTGGAAAACCTTGATAATTCAAAGGACTTGGATAAGCACAATTATTTATAATCATTTCATGAAGCTTCTGATCCAATTCATCCGTAGTCACTGCTGGCTGCCAAATAAAAATTTAATACTGTAAGTTGCAGAGATAAAACTAGTCACAAATGCTCTTAAACGTATATTTTATAAGTTTAACAATACCTTAATAAATTGTCCTGCTTGGTTCAATACTTTTTTAGCAAGAATGCAGCTGTGTCTCATACATTCTATTTGATTCTTATCTTTGATTTCTGATGCAGTAGGTGAGTCTGATGGTATAGAGGATTCACTATAAGAAGGTTGAGGTATATATGATGGTACTCTGTTCATTTCAGATACAACCCAAGGTCTAACGACTTCATATTTTCCATATAAATTATCCACAACTTTTGGACTAGGTACCTTAAAGGATTCATATGAATTTTAATAACTATTTCTCAACTAAATGAAAAAAATATTAATACAGTACATATGAAAATACAATATGAATATTTTGCAAACACTATCACACCTTCTGGAAAAAGTTTTTGAAGAAAGTTCTGACCGGTTGTATTGCTCTGGTTGTTTCTTTAGTCAACATTTTCTGTAAACTGTACTCCTGAAAAAATTCTTCACCAACGTCTCATGTGTTAATAATAACGTAAGTATTGAATAATAAATTTAAAAATTTGTTAAAATAGTGTTATTTTTAGAATAATTTGGGTACCTTTTAACACAAAAATAAATATTTCTACCTGCAATATTAGGTTAGGTTACCGAATTTTGTTGTTTTTTTTCTTATTTTATGCAATAGTGTGTTCTAAAATATATTTCTTTCTCCTCTACGCATGAGCACTAATTTATGTACATAACAAGAATTTTGGAACACACTATACGCATATCTAAATTGCATCCGTTTTTCCGCCTTCTGATTCCTTGCAAATGTAGAATTAAAAAAATGGAGACACGAGTACGTTGGAAATCAAATTTCAATGCTTTTACATTCTCATATTATTATTAAAAGCTGACAATAATAAGATACAGCTTATATAATTTAGAGGAAATCTAATCCTGACATGTGTATAATCATATGGCACCAGTTTAACACAGTCGAATATGCCGCGAAAACGACAGTGGCGACGATCAGGAGATCCCACTTGTTGCCATAGGGAATATAAGTATAGAAATCAAAAGAAAAGATCCGTTTACGTGAAGCATCGGTTGAATTTGAATTCGTTTGTTTGGAATGGTCAAGATAATTTAACATTTGAAATGTGGGTACACGGTTTGCATTATGAGAGAAGTAGCACATTACTTCATTTGCACATAAGAAAAATCTAATAATACTCATGTCATGGTACATTCGTTGGGTCTGTTTAAAAAAAGTATTGCACTTTAAATTTCAACCTACAATTTGTAACAAATCAATTACTCCTTTATTCATTTTTAAGATTAAGACTTGCATAGCCCAAAATTTTCAAATTTTCTTATTTATAGTATTAACTTTTTAGGATACCTGTGAAACTTCAAGAGAGTTCCTCGAGGAGATCATCGGTAAGAGATTTAATGATGGTAGAATGAAACTTTGCTATATAATCATCTTTTACTTGCATATTACAATTGAATATAAAATGATTTGTTCACCCTGATTCCCAATAAACTTTTACATTTCATTTGTCTCTTTAATTCCAGATTCTGAAACCACCTAAATCACGACACCCTCTTCAATTGGTAGATTTCAATTCATCACCAGAAAACAGTCCAACAACTAAACAAACACGGCGTGTCAGTTTTGCAGAAAAAAAACATGTCAAGTAAGTTTTTTTTAAAACACCTGCTGTATGTAATTACTACATGAAATAATCCATAACAAATACAATATCAAAGAAATGTAATTCAATTATGTACTATAAACTAAATGTTCAATATTATGGTAACCATATTTTAAATACTAATTAATGCTTGTTTTCAATTCATAAATTTGCAAAGGGAATTTGTCGATTCTGTGGAACGTGGAACATTATGGGATAATACATACGAAGAGAATGAATTTAGCAGTGGAAAGTTTGTTTGCACTTCACATTGTGAAGACATTGACAATGTAGAAAATCAAAATTCCAAGGATGAAGAGAGCTATTATTCCATTCATAAAGTAGTTGATATTAATGAAAGCATGCAGGAAAATCATTTAGCTCAGTTGGAAACAGCAAAGACGTTTATGAGGGATTTGACAGCAGGATGTTTCACTAATTCCTACAATGATAAAAACGAACTTGGATCTTTTCAAAATGAATGTGATATATCTCAAGAAGAATGTGATCTCAATTTAATAGATGCAGTTGATCGAATCAAAACAACTAAAGTCACAGAACAAATGAACAATTTAGACAATTATACAATGCATCGCCAACCTCACGTATACAGTAATCAGAAGAATGAAATAGAAACAACTAACATAGATAAGACAATCTGCCATGATATGTCAATGGAATTGACTACAGCAATACCTTTTTGTATATCGTCATACCCTGGTACAAGTAATACTTCATGCACAACATTGACACAAAAAAAACAGTATTCCAATCCATCTAACCAATCATATTTGGAAGGAATTAATATGCGATCAAATACTATAAGTAGCGACTTAAATAATTCGATAGATTTGGAAAATAAAACAATGGATTTTACGACAGCAGTGACACATGAGGATCCTTTTTCACAATTCATATTAAATAAGGAAAATATTAATCATCTGCCTTATACTGAAGGAAATACGGCAGATTCGTTTATGGAATACACAGCTCCAGTGGAGAGAACAAAAAAATTTGCAAATCAATCGATGGTATTAACTGAATGTATCCCATCTAAATACATGTTAAAAATAAATACTGAATCTGCAGGAAAGATTTATGGAAGTCGCGATTATATAGATGAATTACATCAAGACAAGCCTAATATCACCCTAAACTATACAGAGATGGAGAAAACAAAGATATTTTGTGATACATCAATTGAAATGACAAATGCTGTAAGATCTGCAATTCAAACTAGAGATTCTGAAATATCCCATAAAAGAAATGAAACTTTAGGGAATATGTCAATGGAAATGACGACAGTAATTTCACAAGCAAAATCATTAATTAAGACAGATGATACTATTGATAAGATGAATCAATCAGCGAAACATGAGAATTTTAATGTTGCAAAGAATATTTTAACTAACAAAGTTAACGTCGATCAAACAATATCAGAAAGAACAGAACAGACCAAATGTTTTCAAAATATGCCAATGGAGTTAACAACACTTGTTTCAACACATGTTACCAATAATAATCCTACAGACAACATAAAGCTGGCCCATAAAAAAAGAAATTATTTGGAATACCTGGAATATTGTGAGGAAACTGGTATTGAAACAACAAAAGAATATTTGGAAGCAACTAAAATTGTAGAAGAAAACAAGACTAAAATGTTTAAAGATATGTCTATGGAAATTACAACAGCCATACCATTAGCTGCATCTATCGTGCAAGGAAGAATTGTACAAAATTTTGATAATTCAGTTTTACAACCAATTCTGGTTGAGCCAGTGGAACAATTTACTGTAACAAATGATAAAGATTCAAGAGATAATGTAAACAGAACAACAAGAAACAATGATCAAGAACTGGATACTGAGAGTAATATAACAAAATTATTTAAAAATGTACCTATGGAAATGACAACAGCGATACGTCAAACAACTCCCACATTTCAAGAAGATGTTTCTTCAAGTTCCAAAAATTATAATGAACACGAGAAGCTAGTTGAACGAAAAGATACGGATGATGTTATTGAGCACCAAGAAATAACAAATACAGTAACTGAAAATATTTATGACAAAATGATTGTTGAGCCTCGTAAGTCTATTCTGGTGGGAAACACATCTATGGAACAAGAAACAGGGATATCAGAATCTCCATTCAACTTGCATTCAAATCGTACGTACAACATCAAAATACCTCGGATTTACCACAATTTGTCAGAAACAATTGGCAAAATTGCTGCAACCGTTACTGAAGATAATAGTAAGAATGATACACCGCATATGAGTATTAGCAACCAAGCAATCAATGAAAACAGATTGCTTGAAAATGAGAGTATGGATATTACACACAGAATTGCAATTAGTGCTGAAGCACCTGCAAAAAATGTTTCTACAAAAACAGAAACTTGTGTAGATATAAATCAAACAAAACAGTTATCTAAAAATACATCGCCAACCAAAAGAACATATGTTATTATTCCAAAAGGATGTTGTACACAAGTGAATGAATCTGTGGCCAATGACACTGATATTGTAATGGGTTGCGAAGAAGTCTGTATAAATAAAAATGACAGTGACCAGGGGAACATATCTATTTATAATTCTGAGCCTATACACGCAGGCAATAGTATATTGTCAGAGAAAATAAATGCAGCAGAAGTTATTAATAAAGATACATCTAACATAAGTGTGATCGGTGATGAAATGTATATGACAGACATTGAAAATCGTCCAACTTGCTTAATATCTAACGATTCGTATGAGGAGAAGAATGATAGCCAATTTCATGAGTTGTCATCGGAAAAAAAAGAGTTGATATATTCGGAAGAAAATGATAAGCGTATATTGCCAATTTCAACAGAAGAAAACGGAATTACAGAAGCTTTGACAAATATCAGCAGTCACATTGATGTAGTTGAGGATCCCTTTGTTATATGGATGAACGGTATAAATGTTTATTCCGAAAGGTATGATCCATATATATGTACATATATACTAAAGAGTTTATTTATAAAAGAAAACTGATACACTAAGTATATCAGATAGAACAATATAAACTTATTGTAATAAAATCTATAAATTTCGTTTTAGGGATGACTGTATTTGGAATGTGCGATGCCTTAATGAAAAAATATTTGCACTAGATTTTATATCAAGTTCCTTAGTAGTTGTCATGCATTTTGAGAATGTTGAGAATAAAGCTATTAATAATTTCCAAAGAATAAAAATTATTTCACGTCTCAAAGGTAAGAATTGAATAGAACAAACTATTATTTGTTTTTATGTTCTTAAGAACTAAGTTCCTATCAAAAAGCTTTATCACATATGACTTATATATGCTTGTGATTTTTAATTTGAATAATATGGTACACTGTTTAAATATATTTTCATCACTTGCGTTTTGTAAATTAGATACCGCAGATCCCATACTTCGTCTGGTACATCGTATAATCTTGGATAAAATAGATCCAGGATCATTAATTAAAACCTATTGCATGCCTGATGATTTTTTTCCGTTGACGGAACATATATCAAGGGATGTGGTATTTGCTATGGATTTTATGTTTGAGTATAAATGGTTACACAATATAGCAATGATAGATATTATAGATAAGCGGTAAATATAAATAATTATTCATTATTTAATTAACATTTGATAAGTACTTAGATTTTGAGAATTAAACTTTCTTGTTTGTATTATTTTAGAATACAATTTACTGTGTGGACTAAAACAGTGAATACGATATTAAATATTTCTATCGAAATAAATACATTGAATAGCATAAGTTTCAATAACGTTGAAGTTGAATGTATTTTGGGCTCGATAAGGTATTCACTTATATCAAAATAATTAATATCAAACTTCTGGTTTATATTACTAATATACTATGATACAGGGTTAATGATATTAAAAAATTAATCGTCAATGCAAAGAAAGATCATCGATATTTATCGAGATGTATAAATGACGTAAAGGAATATCTCGCATGGATGGAAGATACTGGTTGAAAATAATTTTATGTATGTAATCGATACTTGTAAAACTCTATTTGCTATATCTTTGAGTACCTGTGTATAAACTAATATATAATTTTTTTTAGGATTCGTGCATTTTTTGTACCAGAAATACATCACTCACACATGTTGAAAATACGTATCACTATTATAATGTGGACTGAAAGAGTTTTACAATATTCATCGTGATTATACTGTGCCACTATCATTTTTAAAATATAAAATGCAGTACAAGTATAAATGAAACTGGTGTAAAATAAATATATTTTTTATACAAGATAAAATAATTATCTGATAATTAGATTGTAATATGATTTTAAATCAATTAAGTTAAAAAGTTGTATGCAGTTCTGTTGTAAATTTTTGTAAGGGAATGAAAAAGTACATTAAAAGTATGATAATCGCATTAGAAAGTACTATCCTAATTTTGTACGATTACTACTGTTTCATTTCAAATAAAAATGTGGAAAATAAAAAGCTCTTGGTTAATCACATCTTAAAAAAATTAAATTCACAGATTGTCAAAGATCCCTGTATTTCTTTTACTTAAATGTAATATTATTTCATTATGAAATTTATCTATTTTACCGATGGAGTAACGGTGTTACTGATCTGAGTTAGTATACTGTATGAGTATACCTTTTTTACATCTCTGTTTTTTACACCGTGATTTACCATCTATTCGGCTTCTAGTTCAGAGAGATATAACGTCATTCTTATTTTCTTAAATACTATTTTGTGGCGAATACGTTTAACTTTTCTTGAAATTGGTTGAAAAGTTCCTCTAGAAAGTACTGCATTTCCTAATTGTGTATTCGTTCGACTCACGATGGTACGTGGTTAATTTTCTATTCCTGAATAAAATGTTCTCTTACATTTTAGGTTAGAATATTGTGTACACTTTATTTCCAAATCTAGTTTATCTAGATTTTTTCTCCTTCCAAAATTGAGTATACTTTATATTTTATATGCATGTACTTGATTATACATATTCTAATGATTATCGTACAACATAGAATATTTAAGATTAACTTTAGTTAGCAGATTATATAGAGTAAAATGTCCAATGTGAAAACCTGTGTTTTCATTCTTTAGTTGCTGCTTGTTTTGAAATTTCATTGGAATTGTTAGTGGAATTATATTAATTTTTGTTGTGCATGAGACATTGTTTAAATAAGTTAGATTTTGGAAATATGGATTGTTACACTAATGGGTACTATCAAACATATTTAATGTTCTGTTCTGTAAAATTTGTTCTTTAGCATGTTGTAAATAAAGTACTTGCATTTTGACTATGTATTCTTAAAAAATCATTTCTACTACCTTATGAGTGATTATTCATTAAGAAAATTATATTTGTAAATACATTATACGCAAGAATTACTAAAGAAAAATCAATTGTATTATTTTGCTATTCAACAATTTGTTTTTGTCATGTATCTTACTTTTTAAATAACGTTGCCATTATGCTAAATAAAAGGTATTGTAATTTAAGCTAAGAAGCTTTTAAATTGTGTTTTCAGTCTGTTGCTGAATTTCTCAAAGGCTTGCCCTCACATAACGAGAACAACTTTGCAAACTTTCACACTGACAATGGAAACCGAACTTGTGTCAAAAGACCATCTGTCTACCTTCCAACAAAGGATTATCCTTCTGAACAAAGTAATTTTTTCATTCTACATCTATTAAATTATATCTATAAAACAAAAGGGTACACAAATATTAATTCATCGATACCATTGTTGAATATGTATTAACTTTAATTCATTCTGAATTTTCAGTTATTGTAACGGAAAAAACTACAATACTTCTACGGTACCTCCACCAGCAATGGGATAAAAAGGTAATATTTTCATAAATTTCATTCATATACCTAAAATACACCATCATATTTTCTATTGATACTGAAATCTAATATCTTCAAATTGTTCCAGCATGCTGAAAAGAAACGAGAATTGCTATCTGTAACTGGAGATTCACAAGACGAAGTGAGTGGAGTTCGTAGTAAAAGGCCGCGACTCGACCTAAACAACACCCTATGAAACAATTTGTGTGCCTGTAAACATTATCATTTAACAACGTATATGACATTTACCCATAAGTGAAATCCGCGGGAGAAACCAAATGAAATCGAAGTTAGTTATAAATTATGACCTATGCCAATCTTTGATACTGTATCAGAATTAGTTCATGTCCTTCTGTTCAAAGTCTCCATTGCTCTGTCTACAAACTTTGTTTTTCAAAAGATAATGAACTGAAATTATTTAAACTCTTCACAAATTTATCCTGTGAAGTTTCATTTAGAGAATGTTAATAATTTTGCCATATTTATAAGATTATGACTGGCAATTTCATTAAAAACTGGTCAGTAATATCATTAGAATGATCATGTTCAAATGGTGCAACCTGTTATTTGCGGGAGATGCTTATCATTTAATGCATTTATTTCGAGGTTTATATAATTATTTAATATTCTACTAAATTCAGAAAGTTAAAACAAAGTATGGTCCTATCGTCCTACATAAAAGAAAAGGTTGACGCTATCGTATAAAAATAAAAGCATGAATAAAATTTTATATATTCTGTTATGTTGCGTAATATCTGCGTACAATTGTTTATGTTATTCGATTATAAAATATGCACAAGTCAGTATGTCCGCTGTGAAAATCATATTAATAATGATTAATTGAAAAGAGCATTGCGTTATATTTAAATTCCACTACCCTACAGATACAAATATACAAATTGCGTTTTACCTTACGTGATTAATGCGTACAATTAAGTAACTATAGGGTGTGAAACATATGGAAATCTTGAATATTTGAAACTTTCATTAATTTTCAATGTAATACTTTTATGAGAGAAACCTCTCCTATCGTCTACACTATAAATCTGACAATTAGAATTTCTATTTACTTTAATTACTCATGGCTGTGAAGAAGTTTGAAAAGTTGGCGACCTGTCACCGACACAGTAACACTTATATTATAAACTGCATGCATGTATTTAATGGTGAGCATGTGAAACCTTGAATACCTCATTAAAATCGCATCTTCTCATCACCCTAAGCGCAACGCGCAGCAACGACAAATGAGAGAAAATAATATAACTAATTACATTATTGCCCGTCACTTAAAAACGTTAATAATCACTGAAGAGATTTAAAAAATTGATTATTCATCCAATCACGCTAGAAGATGCGCTTCACATTGTATCTGTTATCATACTAAAAAAGTAATATATGTATTATCACAATACAAATTCCTCTCATTGCTTGCATTTTAATTTATTTTATTTTTAAGCTCAAATCTGTTGCTATTGCTATTCTTCTATGAATAAAAAGTAGAACTAATTATACATTTTTAAGGATCCTCAAGAAATGCATACTACGTATCTACATTTATGTTGAACAATATGAAAAAAAATCACTGTACCTCTTTAAATTTATCCAACTGCAATGTAAGTATGTATCAGTGTAGATGTACCTTATAGTAGAAATTGACCGATGCACTTCATGGCCTTGGCGGTAAGATAATAGTCAAACTGACCCTGAAACCGAGGTCGTTATTGTCCGTTGGCCTGGCCGTTCATTTTTTCTCCCAGTAAGGTCCTTTGCACTCGGATGAAAACACCTTCGCTGCAAGTAGTAAATGGCCGATATAATGCACAATTTATATTCTTTTTAAAGATATATACGAGTCTACAAAGACAATTTGTCATCTTTGCATATTTTTCTGCGGCAATTCTTACTTGGATACTTTGAGACGTGTCTTGAAGAAGCATTCGAGAATTTAAAATCTTCATAGGATTTAAATAATCAACATGGCGCTTCCGCTTAATTCGCGCACCAATCAGCCAGTTGATTTTAGGTTGTTTCTAAGTCGACTCACTCTACGAGGAGGTAGAACGAATTATTTTTAATTTAATAGAATAAGTCTCAAAGTGTCAATAGAGTTTAATTGTATAGAATCAGATTGAGTATCTTGTCATGTAGAAATAAGAATCAGGTCGAATGAAAAGTTGAAATTTCTTTCTGACGCAATTTCCGTTACGCTTCCGTTTTCCCATTTTCGACGTCTTCTCGCGTCGACGAGCAGAACGATTTATAATTTCGAAGCCGAGTGTCTCGTCCTATCTTGGCATCGATTCTACTTCGTAATATCGGGTGGAAATTCAGTCTTGAACCTAACCTAACCTTAACCAAACCTTACGGAACGATCCATCATCCACTGGGAGTTCTGAAAGCTTCGGTCGTATCTCATTCGTTTTACCAAACTATTTCTGCTTCTTCACGGATATCTTTTGAGATAAATGACAGTCGCTAGTACATGTAAATATATTTTATTTCCGAATTGATTGAATTTCGTATACGAAATTTGAAGTGACTTATTACGATTGGTATACGAAGAAACATGAATGCTGTAACGTATTGAAAACAATTTAAGATTTGTATCGTTGTCGTTTAGATTCTTTAAGAAATAAGATGTTCGTTCATATCTACATGATCGAAATCAAAGGGAAAAAGAAAAAGAAGACAAAGGTTCTGGAGATACGCGAAAATTTGGTGCGTAGGTTGTTGCACTCTTGAAATTCTGGTACAAGCCTGTAGACGTTTGTAATGTGCGTAGGCGCTGTAGAGGTTATTGGCCAAGGAGCAGCTTACAACCCTCGTGGCAAAAAATACTTAGAAAATTACTAGTTTGTGTTTTGACAGCTAAGAATTTTAGGAGCAACGACAGTTCTGGTGAGATTCACAGTTACTATGGTCATACTTATTTATTGAGTAAGTTTTTCTGAAATCGTCATTCTTTGTAAGTATTCCTTTTATCAAAAGGCAATTCAAGATTTACTTTGTAAAGAGCTAATTCACGAAAGATATGTGTGTACGAACCTAAAGGAAGGTTTATGCCGTGTGGAATGTATACATATAAGAACACTTGTTTCTAGTAACCGTGTTTCTCATTCATTAGGCAACCTGTGATTTTCGTAGCCGCTCAACTTCGGTCACTTCGGGACAGTAAAACTCGCACGTTTCGCGACGGTCAGGATGATGGAAGTAGGGTGAGCAGGGAGACGAGGAGGTGCGTCGATTGCACAGGGATAAAGGAGTTAAGAAAAAACGTCAAGTAATTTACAACAATCGTAAACGTAAGCGCAGGCGCAGCCGCTTGATTCATAGTGATTGCCTAACGGAACCACTGCCAAAACGTACTCCCGCTACGTTCTGTGTCTGGTTGTTTGACTGCCTACCAGCTCCGTTCCCTGGCATCTCCAGTGACGTCTATATCATCCCGAACCCTGCAATTTCGAGGAAACTGCATCACGATTTACGATCCTCCAGCTTGTAACTGTTCTCTTTGCGAATACGACGTAAGACTCATTGAGAGGCCGATAGCCAGCGATCATCTTAATTTTCAAAATTGCATACACGAAAAATGACATTTACTATACTTGCTAATGGTTCTTAAAAATTTTAAGAAATAATCCAAGTTCACCTCGTTCTTTGTACTCGATTCATTTTTAAATACTCTACTTTTTGTATAAATCAAAAACAAGCTTAGCATAGTGCATAAGAGAAATAAGTAGGTCTGCGATAAATAATGTGTAATAATGTAATTTTAGGGATTGGACATTTGCATTGAAGCAGTAGGAGCATGTGAAGGGCAGTGGGTCGGTGTCCGTCTGGTACGATGACCTTGAGAGGAGTAGAATGACTAGTCAGCATATAAGAGAAAAGTTCAACCAATCATCCTTTGGTATGTCTTAGTATTTTTATAATATTGCTAAACAGACTCATACGTCATACTGTAATTCTTGTAGCTCTATAAATCATTCAATTTTAGTACACTCAAGCAAATACTCTGTGCAGTGTCCAACATGACCATCAGCCATCTTGTAGATGACATCGTCTTGTAACGTGAGCGACATTACGGCAAAGTGGACGAGCACGAGGGTGGGTTCTATAGAAGTACACCGATAATAATACACCGACGTCGACGTCGACGGGGAACGGCGTCAGCGACGACCGCAGGGCAGTGCACCACGACGTGGCTCTTTTTATATTCATGATTGCTGCCTGCTGTAACCTGACTAAAAGTACGAAGCCGATATAGTTTCGTTCTGAAACTCAATAGCGTGCACATCGGAAATGTCACGCTCTCTATCATGGTCGAGTTGGCTGCCTGGCTGCTGTCCGTGAGGTTGGCCAACTGAATAGATATATTAATATTCTGTGAGGAGGAGAAGGTCGTGGGTGGGTAGGAAGAAGACAGGTTGGATGTAAGAAGAAAGTAACAATTACAAAGTAACGTGTGGACAACGTATGTAAAAATGAAATACGTATGAAGGATCTTGAAGGTATTGATACTCTGTGCAAGGATTTTTGTTTCTTTAAATTCATACAACAGTTCTTATGTTCTGCGTACGGTGGGTTGTTTTGATGTAAATTACAAGAATTGTTTGACTATAATGAACCCATGAGAAGTCATCGTGGTGGACTTTGTTGTGTCATTTTGCTTTTTTCCTTCTGACAGTCCAATGAACTTTACTGCATCCTGGGGATAAAAAGAATTGCAGGAGTTCAAAAGTCCAAAGCGCGTCTGCGTCTCGCCGTGCCTGTACTTCTTCTGTAAACTAGTACTTATACGACTCTGCGTTTCATTTCTCCTGCGTCATGACAACAGGCTCATTAATTTACAAGAAGAGACTGCTGCCCTGTCCACCGCCAGCATTCACTCCCACGTAGGACTTATTACACGCGCATGCACAGACGTTTTTACTCGGGGTGAAGTTGATGTTGAAAAGATGCTAGATATTCTATCAGTTATACCAGTCAAAGTCAAAGGAAGTGAATTTATTAAGAAAAACTTTTTTTTTCAAACTTCTAACGTCAGCCAGTAAGTAATACTCTAACGTATTCCAAGTTCTATGATTCGATACTGGTATACAATTTTCTAAAAGCACACTGTAACAACGAGCTTTGTATTTTGAATTCGAATAATTGAAATTGACAAAACCGTTAGCTCGCAGACATTTCTGATATACATTTTTTTCTATAGCACGAATATCCGTATTATAAAAGCACGGGGGTAATATCTTAAGGTTACCTCCTTCGTGCGACTACCTACGGACGGCGCGATGGTAATTATCACGAAACGGGTTCGCAATTAACCGGACGATTTAATTTATTACCGGGCCGTAGTCGGGCCGTGGTAGTCGGACTAAGAAGACCGTCCGGGCCCTCCCGCGTTAATTTATTAATCAAACCTGTTCCTGACACCCTGCACTCACCATCTGATCGTTGGCAGACGCGTGTTCGCTGGGAGTGGTTTAACAACGCACGGTGTAATTGATAATAAATGAGCTACACCCCTTGCTCCTTAACTCATTCCTTGCTTTCAATAAAGTCCCGAGCTAACGGACGTCTTCACCAGGTGTGCCTGCCGGTCTGCGCATGCGCACGAGATATTGTATATGCTACGGATATCCGTTACGCGTATCTGTGTGTTTCCATCGTTTCTTACCATCTTTTACGTCGTTACGCATGTTGATTCCGAACTTTGACCGTCTTACAGATTTCCTAATTACCCTGGTAATATCCTACGATCATGTGCATATATAGTTTCCTCTTGTCGGTGCTTTGAAAAGTGGTGATTTGTCAGTGAGCCTAACCTCTAATACTTTTCTCCGAGGTACTTTTTGAAGTACGAGTGACGTTTGTAAGTACAAATTTGTATATTTTTCTTTGCTTCCATGACTGCTTGTATTTGCAGGAACTTTGTTTGTTGTTTTGGGAATTCATGAAAGTGGAAAGGAGGAATGAAATCATTTTTTTACTGGCTACACTCATTCTTTCGTTTGTTTACGATAATTCGGTCTGTTCTTTTCATGTTGGTTCAATTACTTTCTATTTACTATAGCCAGGACGTAAGACGAGGGGGGAGCCTGCAGAAAACAGATGCTCATTGTGGTTGGTAGTTTCAAACAGTTGGTAGTAGTTGGTAGTTGTTCGACAAGCTAATGTATACCGTAATTGGGCTATAAAGGGTCCTTGCTAATCAAAGTCGATTTTTACGACAGGAGACGCTAAGATGTTGGGACGCTCGGATTAATACTGTCCAGCTGTTGCAACAGTGCCGGACCAGTGATGCTGTATTGGAAATTACAACTATGTTGCGGCGGCAGTAAAACGATTGAAGAGGTTTGTTTATGTTATTTTTGTGTTAATTATGTTTAATGAGAGTACAAACGTATTATTAATGGACTTTATAATGGTGAACACAGATCGAATAGAGTATGGGTATTCTAGTTTATAAATATATTATTGAATCTTTCTCAATGTTGGAAAAGTGGAGCAAGAATATTTTTAATTTTTTTTTTGAATACTCATTAATTTCCTTTAATAATCAAATTGATTCATGAAAGTTGTATTGTCACTAAGGGTACTGATAAAAATGTGAAAATTAATTTTACTTAATGTTCACTAATTCTTGCTAATTCTGGGGCGACTGTTAGCACTTTAGTCCTGGAAATTTATTTGCCAATATACATAATTGTCAAAATGCAAATGAAATTGCTTAAGTAACATTTGCAGGATCGCTGAACCAAGTTGGCTGTTGGGATTGCATTAACAAGCCTTATGAAAATATCTTCACGGAAACTATTCGAATTTGCAAGGGTCACGAGGAAATTCGCCGCGGCCTGGTAATCCTCCATGAACTTTGAACCTCTCTATCGTCTATTCGGCCCGTGTAGCCCGTCTTGGAAACTTTGGCCAAACTTTGACTCCACTGCAGATTCAAAATTCTCTCAAAGGACATAGCCCATTCCTCATTACCTACTTGGTCCATTCCAAAGGCTCCTTAAGTAACTCAATAAATTCGCAAGCAACTTCACGCGTCACATTGAATTCACACCATTTGGTAACTTTATCAATATCAGACTACTGACTCTAGACTACTGTAGGAATATATTAACACATTAAGGACCGCAAAGAAATCTGTAAGGCATACGTGCCTGGGACCGCACGTTTTTGGGCAAACTTGTACGTTCTAAAATCATCATAACTTTGTTATTTATCAAGCAATTTTTGTGAAACTTTCAGAAATTGTATAATAAGATGCATTCTATGTATTATTGAGAAAATACAGTTTTTCGTAGCTTGATCCGTTCGGATTCCACCAATGGGATCGTCTGGTCACCAGCCTTGGAGGTAGTAGGATACAATGTATGAAAGTAAGTCCATCCGTAACAGACGGAACGCGAAACACGAGAGAACTAGTGAGCGGTCCTTAAGTGTTAAAAAGTGTCAAAGTACAGAATCCATTATAAGCCATGACAAAACGAAAGTAGGCAATCTATATTTATATAAATTATTTATAAAAAAAAACCGGACCATTATTTGTGAATTCAAGAATCAATTTGTCAAAAATCTAATTGCGTTTTTTTTTCTCCAGTTATCCTGTTTCTACTTCTATGGGACATTTTACCAGAGAGCTTCTTCCACGTGTCGGTGCATCGCAAACGTCCTTACAAACCTTTTATCATCATCGGTAAGTACTCAGCTGTTCCTTACACTTTTACCAACATTCCAAGACCAATTCGTCTGGTCTTGCCATTTACTAAAATTTAACCAATTACAACGAGCCCAGGAGAGCTTTTGCGTTTGATATGAACTCACGACGAGATTTCACGCAATGCGTTTCCGTATTTCAGTAATTGCGTTGCGATAAATTGCTTCGGGACGTGACTCGTTGCACGAGCGAAAGGAGCAGGGAGAATAATAAATAGAAGCAAGGGAAAAGACATATCCAAAATTTCATTCCAGTTATCCGAGCGTTTCACCTCGACTGACATAAACTTCATTTGCGCTACAGCCTCAAGTCGTTGTAAACGTTAAATTAATGTACAAGCAACACGTAGATAAGTCATAACGAAACTTTCCAATCGACGTTACGAGCCAAGTTCGTAAACGGTGATTTACCATAATTTCATCTACAAACGAATAACCATTGTTTGTCGATATACGTAAAGGCAAAGTCCGAAAAACGTCCTTGGAACGTCCATCGGAAGTCTTTGCCAAATAGAAAAAGTTATTCAATTTATAAAGCGATTCGTGAAACGTTCAGTAGCTGAAAAAGTTTATACATACCTGTTTAATAATTAAAATCGTACACGTGTGCTCGCCCATACACGAGGATACACTTCATTAGGCACGAACGGCGGGTGGGTAGTTGGGAAACTCAGGAGCGTCAAATAATGGCGCAACTCGGAAGTCAAATATTTGTTGTTTCAGGGAATTCGTAAAATATTCCATGCGACACGGAATTATTAAAGCGACTGGCGTTCATCTCGTCCCCGAAGAACGACACTTGCACTGCATTCGGTTTCATCTTGCGAATACGTCGCTCGTAATTTGCGCATACGTCATCAAAGTGAGAAAATTTCCCCGGTAAGTTGTCGCGCGTGAATAATATTTTATTTACCTTCGGCAGGTACTTTTTAATAAAGTCGGGACTTTCCAGGGACGTCCTATGGATATTGCGCGTTATGGGAAGTACAAGTTCATGGAAGTAATGACAGCGATGCATCACCCATACGCTAATGGACTTGTCACATTAATAATAGATACAGATGGTATTCCTATGGGGTCCCAAGGCTTCGTATCGGACTGTTGCGTAACCTCGAAATAGTCCTAGGAATTTAACGATTATTCATACCGGTACTCGAAAGTACCTTTGGCGTTACGTGAAACTCGAAATTGAGGTTAACTCGGGCGGCTTAGGCGGGGAAGAGCTTGTCGATGCTCCGATGGATTCACGGTAGTTCGAAACCCTTTATTGAGGGTTCGGAAAATTCACAATTACAAGCACAAGCGAGAGGGTGCTTGTGTATACGAGGGTTCCCCATTGATAAGACCTGCCTTCGACCCCTTTGATGATCGTCGTTTCTGATCCGGGCGTCAAAGAGCCTCCCGCAATCCTACCAATAATCTACCCGAGCTATCGGAGTATATCGGCCCATATCAATGGACGGTGCAGCTCGGAAGATATTAGTTATCTATTAGAAAGGGGATCCTCGAGATTCATCATTCCTCTTCCGGATCGAAACACAAAGCGGGGTTCGTAAGGTCGAATATGGAGCTCGTGATATTGTCAGATATTAAATTTCACAGTGTACCCGTGGGTGACGGTCGTATCGGGGACATATGGGTATTTATGGGTATGGGTATATATATCGATGATGACAAAATGAAAATTATTGAGATTTTGGATTTTGACGAGAAAAAAAATGTTATGTCCGCTAAAACCGTAACGGTTTTTTTGTTTTTTTTTTTTTAATTTTTCCTTGGCCATTCCGCCTGGATTTTCGGGGGGTCATATTTCAAGCTCCTGGAACGGACGTGAACGACCGGATATCCCTTTTTGTTTTTTTTTTCAATTTTTTTCTTTTCTTTTCTTTTTTTTTCTGTGAAAAAGTGGAAAACCACTCACGTCACCTTTTATGCGTTTCGGGGGCGATATTTCAGAATTTCGCTGCGCCAGGCAATTTTTATCGTAAAATCCGCGACGTCCAGGGTGCCTGCCTCTGTGCCCGTCTACTATCCATGGGATGAGTTCAGGGACGTAGCTAGCCGTATCGGGTTCACGTGCTTTTGCGCATGGGTAGACCCCCAGCCATGCATACTCGTGTATGGATGAATGTACGGTTCGTATCTGGCTATACCCATGACTGTATATGCTGCATCTAAATCAGATACTTGAAAGAGACCGGGATTTGATGTATGCTCTGTGATATATGCCATGCCGCAGAAAAATATCAATGCTTGTTATGATATTAATGTGGGTATTATGCAATGCCATATTTAATGGCGCTACGGACCCCTCTGGCGCCATAAGTCATCACGGCTCCTCGGGCGGTTTTTCATGACTTTTCTCCGATACGTGGAGAAGATGGGCGGTAACAGCTTCCGGTGAGCACTTTTGGCGTTATTTCAGTGGATTACGTATGACGATTTTTTTAAATATTTTTTTCGTTCGCCATGATTTCATGAGAAAATTGAGAATCATTGTCAAAAGAGGGGGAGAGATTTTGAGAATGAGTTTTTTTTTTTTTTTTTTTTTTTTTTGGGTTTTTTTTTTTTTTTTTTTTTTGTTTTTTTTTTTTTTTTTTTTTTTGGGTTTTTTTTTTTTTTTTGTGGGTTTT